AGGGAAGGGAAGGGAAGGGAAGGGAAGGGAAGGGAAGGGAAGGCAGACCCAAGCAGATCAGGTACCTGAGAAGCCCAGGTCCAGCAGCACGGCCCGTTTGCGGTCCTTGACGCTGCTGATCTGCTGGAAGTGCAGGTCCAGCACGAAGAAGAAGATGCAGCCGAAGAAGGCGATGACGCCCACGGCGATGCCGTAGCTGCAGGCACTCTCATTCTCGTTGAAGATGCAGAGCAGCTCGGGGTGCTGGCTGTCCTTGTTCACATAGCACTCGTTGACGATGGAGCCGAACACCACGATGGAGAAGATCTGCAGGAGCAGGCACAGAGCACAGCTGGCTGCTGAGGCACTGAACCCTGCTCCCCAACAACAGCGACAATCCCATCCTCACATCCCAGCCCTGACTCCATGGCAACGTGGCATTTGTCAGACACATCCCAAACGTGGCATTTGTCAGACACATCCCAAAACGTGGCATTTGTCAGATACATCCCGGCTCTGCTCTGGTTGGTGGCTCCAGGCTGCACCTGGGTGTTCCATCCTGGAACCTCCTCCTGCCTCCCAAAGCCCTGCTGGGCACAGTGGGGTAAGGACTTGCTTCTCCAGGCACGCTGGGGAGGGAAAGGACACCCACATCCCTGCAGGGACTCTGTGCTGTGCTGCTCTCTGGGCACCACAAAGCCCCAGGGACAGGGACAGCTGAGCAGCTGAGCCAGGGAAGGGCTGGAGGGGACAGGGGACATGTGTGGGGAGGTGGCACATCTCCCTCACACTGGGAGCCTCTGATCTCATCCCTGCCAGCACCAGCAGCGCTGCTGCCTCCCTGCTGCTCCCAGGCATGCAGGGCAGAGATAAGAGGCTGTCCCTGCAGGGACAGCACGACCAGCACCAGTGTCACACAGGTGACAGTGTGTGAAGCCCAGCTGGTGGCTCTCACAGTCACCTGTGTCACCTCCTGCAGCTCCCAGGGCAGCTGTGTCACCGAGCAGGGGAAATGGAGCAGAGCCCACAGTGGGCAAACCACCCCCAAGGTCCAACCACCCTCTAACATAACACAGGGACAGATCTGCTCCTCTTCCTCCTCTGGGAGTTCAACCACAGCCTGGGCCCTGTCCCACAGCCATCCCTGCCCCAGGTCAGCCCTGAGCTCCAGCCATGAGCTCAGGGGTCACCAATGTCACCCTGTGGCACCTCAGGGGTCACCCATGTCACCCTGTGGCACCTGCACCCTGTTCCTCCTGGTGCTGTGCTTGGGGAGCACTTGGTGATTTATTAAAAATATGGCAGCATCATCATCACCATCTTCATCCCCATCAGTATCCTCATCACCATCTTCATCGTCATCACCATCACCATCATCCTCATCATCACCATCTCCATCATCACCACCATCTTCATCATCATCATCATCCGCATCAGTATCCTCACCATCATCACCATCATACCATCACCATCATCACCACCATCACCATCCTCATCCCCATCAGTATCCTCATCATCATCACCATCATCCCCATCAGTATCCTTATCACCATCATCATCCCCATCATCATGACCATCATCATCATCATCATCACCCTCATCATAATCATCACCATCACCACCATCACCATCATTATCACCACCTTCATCCCCATCATCCTCATCCTCCTATCACCATCATCCTCACCATCCTCATCCTCCCCACCATCCCCACCATCCCCACCCTCCTCATCCTCACCCAGGAGGGGCCGTGAGTAAGGCACAAACAACAACAAACAGCCCTAATCGTTTTCCCAGGGCTTTGGCAGCAGCTGTAACATCAGCAGTTGTAAAAATCTGCTCATAAATAATGCAGAATTGTTATTTACCATCAGAAATAGCAGCAGCATGGATGGAGCAGGCCCTGGGAAGGAGTAATGTGATTCTGGAAAACATGAATAATTGAGGAGCTCTGATTCCACACCATCACTGCTGGGGCAGGGCAGCAAACCTGAACTCAGCTGCTCGGAGAAGTTCCACTCATTCCCCCCAGGATTATCAGCCTGCTCCAGGCCTGTGGGGACCTGCTGCATCCCAGAGCTCTGTGAGGAGGGGGAGCTCCCATAAATATCCCATAAACACAATTCAGGATGGCCCAGCACAGGTGTGGGGCGCCTGCACCAGCTTTGCACACCTGGGGCTGGCAATGTTGATTTTTATTTTTTTTTAAGGATGTTTTATCACTTATTTTCCAGTAGAAAAGGATTTTGGGAAGCAAAGCATCCTTCCTACTGCCAGACAAGCCAAGTGGCTCAAACCATGAGACACAAGCACATTTTAATGTACAAAACACAGCACAGGCAGCTTTTCCTTGGGAGGCCAAAGGAGCCATGAATTCCAAGTGCACACATTTGATAGAGGAGCTCAAACCATCAGCACTGCCTGGAATATTCCTGTCAAAACGTGCCTTGCCATGGGTTACCTCTCCCTCACCCCAGGATTGTAATGTTATGGGTTTTCTTTAAAAACCCACTGGTGCTGGTGAAATGTTTTAATGAGAATAAATTCGGTGTTGTCTTTCTAAGTTCGGATGAAAAAGTGCTTTTATTTTAGGAAAACGTGGGTGGATGAAATAAATGTGGGCAGGGAAATAAACCCCCTGTGTTTTTTCTGAAGCTCTCACAGAACAAGTGCATTTCCCCATCACCTTCACAAACCACAGCGGCTCAGAGCCCCAAGCAGCTCATCAGAGACAGAAAGGGAAAACACAGGGTCAGATTTTCCACTGTGAGCGAGGTCTGGTGGCCGGAGCAGCATCTCAGAGGATTTGCCTTCACAGGACATTTCATTTTCCAGCTGAACAACCCAACTCCACCAGCAGCAAATTCTGCTTTTCCTGGCTGAGCCGGTGCAAGTTTAAAAAGTGTGATTCTAAGCAAGAAGAGACAGCTCTGCAGGCCAGGCAGCATTTCTGTGACACAGGGCAGTGGGACAGACAATGGGACAGGACAGTGGGACAGNCACCCCAGCCCCAAAGCCCACGGGAACACTCCAGAGCCGTTTCTGTGGGGCAGGGGGACCCCCAGAGCTCTGCCCGGGCTGGGGGGCCCTGGCCGTGCACATCTGGCACAGCTGGCCCAAATAAACACATCTGCTGTGGGGAGGGGGAGCTGCCGAGAGCCAGCCCAGGAAAATAGGTCAGTTCTGCCGAGGCTCCTTCACCCCTTTCCAGGTTGCTGGAATTGAGGTTGGGAAATGTGGGCGGCAAAGCCGGGAGGGCCCCGAGCTCCTCTCCTTCCAGGAGGATTCATTAACAATTCAATTAGTTTGTAAATGACGTTCTGAGGAGGCTGAAAACGCCTGCAGAGGCCGGGAATGGCTTCCCAACCATCGGGATGGGACAGGGTGACAGCAGTGTCCCCACGGCCCTCCCGGGTGGGAGCAGATGCTGATGGGATGGGGAGCATCCGTGGCAGAGACGGGGAAGAGCTGGGATTAGAGGAGATTTATTGGGATAATCACAAAGCAGGGAGCAGCTGAACTGGGGAGAAGGGAGCGAGGCTTGTGCTGGAAAGCCTGCCCTGGCTTTGCCCCAGTTCTTTGGAGGCAATGTGGAATTAGGGCACATCCCGGGGCTCTGTGCCCAGGAGAAGCTGGGGATAACCCAGAGCCATCCCTGCCTCTGCACACACAGCTCTGGGCTGGGAGCCCCCCGGTGCACACATCTCTGCTGAAATTCATTTTCCTGCTCTGTAGTGACTTCTGTGAGATCCTTTGGTGTTTCCTCATAGCTGACCCTCATCTTTGCCAGACTGCTGTTCAGCCCCTTTCCAAATTGTTTGTGGATATTTTGAACATTTGAACATAAGATTCCTGAGGACTTTGGTACCTTTGTTTGTTACAATTTTTCCTGGTAGATGCCAGACATGCTGGGATTTCCCTTTGTCTTTGAGAGGGATCCCAGGTGATTGAACGAGAATTATGGTGTTCATCATGCACTGAGGTGGCATTGTGATGTTCTCTCTTCTTTATTCTATTTTCCTATGTTCTGCCTTTCAGGTTGCTTTTTGACTGCTGGTGAGCACCTCAGTGATGTTCTCATGGGTCTAGCTATGATCAACACCAAACATCTCTAAGTGTTAGCAGCCAGCCAAGAGCTTGTTGTCGTGTGTATAAAGTTAGGATTGCTCTGTCTGAGGTGCACGTGGGGTCCAGGTGAGCTTCTCACAGCCCTGGCTGGAGTCCCTCTGCCCAGGTGGAGCTGGAAATGGGATCAGGGGGCTTCCTAAGCCCCTTCTCCAGGTTGGTGTGTCCCAGGAGGAACTGAAAATGGGATCAAGGGGGGTTTCTGAGCCCCTTCTCCAGGTGGACAGGCTGGTGTGGCCCAGAAGGAGCTGGAAATGGGATCAGGGGGGTTCCTAAGCCCCTTCTCCAGGCTGGTGTGGCCCAGATGGAGCTGGACATGGGATCAAGGGGGGTTTCTGAGCCCCTTCTCCAGGTGGACAGGCTGGTGTGGCCCAGGAGGAGCTGAGAGCTCCCAAATCCCCCAGGCACCCATGGAGGTGCTCAGAGCAGAGATCTGCTCCTGGGACTCCCTGCCTCCAAGGAGGCCCTGAAATGAAGGCAGCTCGTGCCTGGCCACACGTTCTCAACAGGAACAAAAGCTCCCAGCCCTGGGAGAAAGGGAAGCCTGGGCTTCCCCAGGCAGAGGAGACTGAGCCGAGCTCCTCAGGTTGGAAACCACCGGTTCCCCACGCGCAGCTCCCCAGCGCAGCCCCTCTGCGCCCACCAGGGATCACTTCTGCAAAGCCAGCCCGCCCCAGCACCCCGGGCAGGTTTCATTTCTGCCGTGGTCCCCCCAGCCCCTCA